GCGCTATCGAAAGATGCGTACAATTTATCTTGGATAGGAACTATCGAAAACAGGAAATTGCCATCCTATCCGATAGTCAAGCAGCACTTAACGCGATCAACTCAGTAACCATCAATTCGAAGTTGGTCAAAGAATGCCTAGAGAAGCTCAACAAATTAGGCAAAGAAAATAAAGTCCTCCTACTCTGGGTGCCTGCTCACCAAGGGATAGAAGGCAATGAAAAAGCAAATGATCTAGCTAGGAAAGGAGCGAACACTCCACTAACTGGACCAGAACCGTTCTGTTTTCCAAACGGGAACCAACTGAAAGCGGAACTGAAGAATCTGGAAGACTCCATCCGTAACTTGGAATGGGTGTCCTCCAACGGTCTAAGACACTCGAAAAAGTTCCTTAGAACTTATGACCGAGAAAAATCAAAGGTTTTCCTTGATTTAAGTAAAAACAATCCTCGGATTGTCACGGGGTTTCTAACAGGACACTGTCTCCTCAACGAACACCTCAGTAGGCTGAAACTGAGAAACAACGGCGAATGCAGATTTTGTGGGGAAAATGGGGAAACACCAGAACACCTTATCACTGAGTGCGCCGAGACGACGACCATTCGTGCCATGAACCTTGGCACGTCTGATGTCGAGGATGGAGAGCTGGCCTCTGTGGAGCCGTCTCACATACTGGCTTTTCTTAAAGCCCTGAGACTGTATGATGAGTTATAACTCATTATAACTCAAGAAAGGGGAACACACAATAGATCTATAAGGTCGCGGTGATTAACTCCCCTTCTAAACATTCTACATTCTACATGTTGCAATAGAGTACAAATGTTTTTACAAGTAATTATTAAAAATATATGAAAATAAATTTAATTTATAGACCATTAGCATACTATTTAAACAATTTTACATGGCTGTTTCCTTGACTCTTTGGATCCTTTAATTACTTTTATTTTTTAATCTCCGTAATATTCCGCTATATTTTATAATTTTATCAGTAAATGAAAATGGTACACTTCTGCAAGAACAGAAACGTGTTTTCATGTAACCGATTTCGGCTATTCTGGTGCTGAAAAACAGAAAATTATGCATTTCCGCAGGAACATTTTCGTGACTTACTACACACACCGGAAAAATCTAGGGATATAATTTTATTAAAGTTAAAAATAAATGTTTTGAATAAACAACCACATATTTGTAGGCCGATTCTTTCTACTTCGATTGAAACGAAGTAGTCACACTAGTTACTTCTAAATTTGGGATATTTGCAGAAGTGTTTGTGCATTTTTTGTCAAATGTATAAAAAGAACCTAGCATCAATTGTTCGAATTTAACCTGTACTAGCTATGTTTTTATGATAACTGGCCAGATTTCATTCAAATAACTCTGTATAGTATTAAACGACATTATGGAGCGTAGACATCTTAACAGAGACGAAATGCTAAGGGCCATGGGTATGTTCGAAGCTGGAATGCGCCAAATCGACGTAGCTAGAGCATTAAATACAACGCAAAGTGTAATATCGCGATTAAGTGCACGCTACCGTGAAAGTGGTGATGTTGCTGAAAGGCACACAGGGCGACATCGTATTACTACCCCTCAGCAAGATCATTTTTTACAATTAAATGCTCGACGCCGACCGACTCTTACAGCACCAGAGCTTAGTTTAATTTTCCAGGAAACACACAATGTAACCGTTAGTCCTGACACTATTCGCAATAGATTAAGAGAGGTCAACTTAAGAAGCAGACGCCCCTGGAGCGCTCAACCCTTAAGGAGAGGAAATCGAGAGGTACGATATTTGTGGTCTCAAGATCATGTTCAGTGGTCGAATGAACAATGGGCCAATGTTCTCTTCACGGATGAGTCACGCTTTGGAATTCATCCGGATTCGAGAAGGCTTATGGTATGGAGAGAACCGGGAAATGTTATTCGGTGGGATCATGTTCAGGAAGTGCACCCTTATCAAGGTGGAACAGTTACGGTCTGGGGAGGAGTCAAGTTAGGCCGAAAAACCGATCTCGTTTTTCTTAAAAGGTTTCTAACAGGAATCACATATCGTGATTTAATTCTTGAGAAAATAAATTTAATTTATAGACCATTAGCATACTATTTAAACAATTTTACATGGCTGTTTCCTTGACTCTTTGGACCCTTTAATTACTTTTATTTTTTAATTTCCGTAAGGTCGTGAATAAAAAACTTGGCAATTTTGTGAATGAGGTCAAAATAATATGATAACTATGTAATTACAGTGATATAACTGTAAAAATGTATTAGTGTATGTTAAAAAAAGTAGAATAATTAATAAAACTGTAGCTTTTTCAAAATTTTGTAAAATATGTTTGAAGATGGGAAAAAAACCTTGGGCGTGCTTCTAGGGTCGAACCATTGCCTATATATTAAATTTTTATTCAAAAATCTTATTCATAATGAAGGGTCGAACTAAGAGACAGCCTGTATAATAAAATAAGTTGGTAAACATACTGTTTTATAAGCTAAATATTACTCTATCTCTATGGATACTAGATACAACTGAGTACTGGAAGCTGTTGCGATATTCTATTAATTTTAGTGTTTTTTAGACATTGTGAATGATCGTACACTAAAAAGTATAAAGTGTAATTTATTCCTCTAATTGCGAGGTTCCGAATGAAGCTTTAGTCATTTTTCAAATGTCAAATTATTAAAATAGATTGACACACCTCCACACTTTAATGTATTAAAAAAATATTATCTAATTCCATATTTCTCTAAAAAAAATCATAACCTTTTCGTGAGAAACCAATAGTGTGTTTTACTCTCATTATACATTCAGGTTAATTTAATATTTAAATCCGAATTTTATGGTTCCAGGTCAAAAAATAAATAATGCTAATTATATCAGTAACGTACGTAATCTTTAAAAATCTGTTTCAACAGCGGGTCCGTCTCGACCGAACGATTTTTTTTAGTCGATGAAGGTAATTTTGTCGGGTTTTCAGCAGCGAATAATTAACATTTTTCTTGTCGATAATTATTTTTTAATGCGGTATTGTTGTTTGTTTTCCTTTAGTTAGTTTAAACTCGCTAATTTTTTTGGAGGTTATATAAATAACGATAGTCATCTTTAAGGAAATGTCTGTTTTTAAACAATATAATATAATAGGAAAAGAATATATTAAATAACCAGTAGGGAATAAGGAAGGTGTTTCATTAGTTTCAAAAGATATACAGGGTAAGTTAAAAAGAAAAGTTTATTTTTTTCATTTATTAAAATTTGGGAATTATAAAAAAATGTTAAATAGAATAGCCTTAGAGAATGTGTGACGACAAACTACTATAGCACTGGCTGTTACTGTGCTTAAAAGAAACAACTTTTTGCTAAAGCTCTTCATTAAAGTACGCAAAGAAAGTAAAGTCCTCCTACTCTGGATGCCAGCCCACCACAGAATAGAAGGTAATGAAAAAGCAAACGATCAAGCTAGAAAAGGAGCGAACACTCCACTATACTGGACCAGAATCATTTTGCTTCCTAGGTGGAAAATAACTTAAAGTGGAAGTCAAGTACCTGGAAGATCCCTTCCGTAATCTGGAATGGCAATCCTCCAATGCTCTAAGACTAACAATCTTCGGATTATAAAGGAATTTTTAACAGGAAGGCTTGTCAATGGACACCTCAGTAAATTGAAGCTGAGAAACAACGGCGAGTGCAGATTCTGTGGGGAAAATGGGAAAACACCAGAACACCTCAGCTCTGAGTGCGACGAGATGACATTCTTGCCATAACTCTAATAATGCTGGCTTTTGTCAAAGTCCCGAGACTGTATGATGTTGCAATGACATGATCTCCTAATACAATTCTATATGATAAATGTTTTCAAGTCTCAAGCATCTAAAAAACTGAAGAAATAAATAAACGGACGATACGGAACGTGAGTTTTGCAAGATTTTCTTACAAAACTATAGCGCCTATTACTTGCGTATAAAATTCTTCATCTATAAACGTACAATCATTCTACTGTTCGTCTTTTCGCAACAAAAACCACCGTGCAAGCCCAGAGATGAGCTTATCTGTTGTATAATCGAATCTTTAAAAACAACTACGTGATTTGTGCTCGGAAAATATATGCCGATAAAAAAACAAGACAGCAGGCTATCATTAATTAATTGAATTGGGATTGTAATGTGAAATCGATTATGCAGGAAATTAATTAGTTCAGCCGCTTTTTTTAAACGAAAAACTTGCTTGACAGTGTGTATTCAGTGATTCTGTAAAGATTGCTTATTTCGTACTGAATTAATATAAACTTATATCGTCTTGGTTACGCCAGCAACAATAAATAGAGTCATAACTCCCTTGAAATATTATTACCGGGAAATAAGATGACATAATTTCTTCTACGTTTTATCGGTAACAACCATGAAATGCAATAGAAATTTTAAGGAGTAATATAAAATGAAAATTGACACTTATCTAACTACTCATATAATAAATTTACAGAAGAACAGTTTCACCGACATCACCTGCTACAATATTTTTTTGTCCCAGCGACTGAAGGTATTTTCTATAAATCTCATAAATACATCACAATCTGGCAGCGTTGTCGCCATCGCTTGTCACTCAAAGGTGATCACGTTGTATTGGAAATTGTTTTGCGCTTACTTTAGGTCATTTAATACAATATTAAAAGAAATATTCAAAGACAGTAGTTGTTCGTTTGACTTTGAGTGAAACGAACAACTGTCTATGACAAAGGCCTGATGATGGCTGGAATTGCCGAAACCGGTCACTAATAAAGAATTTTTTTGACAGTGGTTGGTTGGTTTACCATGGGCCACCACTTTGTGAAAATGAACCCAATTTTCGTTCTATTTTTTTATTCTTTCCTCAAATTTTAAGTGATTGGGCTATAAGATTCTAACCATAGTTTATTTATTTTTTAACAGACCTTATTACTTGAAGTAGCTTATATGACGTATCATTGTACCAATGTCATAAGTTAATAATGAAACCTCATTATTTTACAGACTCTGGTAGTATGGTTCTCGGCCTTGGATCTCTGCCAGCCCATCATGGTGACTTTTGGTACCAGCAAGGGACCCATTATACCCAGACAGATCGATCCCAGCAAAAGATTACAGGTACGGTATTCGTTTGGAGTACTTTACTAACCAGTTTATTAAAGAAAAATATATTTAAGAACTGCCTTGAATGGCCAACGTAGGTACGAGTATTTGGTTACAGAATTACGTATAACATACACTGAAAAACAATAATATTGTTTTTTCTCGACCGTATTTATTTCTCGAGGCACGAAAATGTACAATTTGGCGTCTAATTATTTTGTTGTAGTACAGTTTTAAAAAACACTTCTATTGCTCAAAAACCGCAAGGGGAAAATTTCCGATTTTGTTAATTTTACACTCAGAAGACAGTCGCTGACGAACTCATTTTTTTTTCACTCTCTATACGGCGATACAATTTTACTGGATTATAAAGCATCTAACTCATTTGCTAGCTCAGCAAATGAGTTAGATGCATTACAATTACGAGAGTTAAGCAACTCGCATTTTTATTGGAGGACAATGTTGTATTTATTTCAAACCAATAATCAACGAGACTATTCGTATAATTTAACAAAATTAGTGTAAATCACTATAAATAATGAACAAAACATGTAAACAAAAATAGACCACACGCACTCTTTGTTTTCAAAGGTTCAAAATTTCTTCTTAAATAAATTTTGAGGGATGTTAACATTATTAGGCATTTGCATAAAAGTGTGTATTTTGAGTGGTATTCCACAAAATTTGCAGGCTATTATTGAGGAAACAAAAAATGTACAGATTACAGAAATAAAGTGAAAATAATTTTTATATTAAAGCAGCATTACTATATGTGAGTTTTTCAAACATGTCTTTCAAATCTTACAATTTAATAGCTGTTAGTAAGAAGTTTCATCATTCAGATATATTTTTCTTTCAGTGTAGGATGTTTTTCTGATTTTTATGTTATTTAATTGCAAAACGCACGGTCTTCTGTGTGTAATCTTATTTTTGTATCGTTTTTATGAAATAATATGTGGAACAAGAATGCCATGTTGTTTTATAAAGAAAATATAACAATACCTGTTTAAGCCTGGTTTCGTATTAAAGAATAAAAAATTACAAATGTTAGTACAGATTTTTATGGGCATCGTATTGCGTTATTCTTAAAACAGGAAAAATCAGCTACACTAATTAATATCAAAGGAAATCTCAACTTTATATACAGAGTGATCCAGTTTGTATGTAGTGATCCATATACAGAGTGATCCAGTTCGTAAATCTATAAAACCGTTGACGTTTTGTTAAGATGACATTTTATATTAAGTTAAACTTCAAAATTAAATTAACTAACTGATAACAATTATTTAATGTGGTAAAACCAAAAAACCCTCAAATTTTCTGTGTGAGTATTTTTTTAATTTGTTTCTAATTTTTACTTATAATGTTATGTTTATTTATTATTTATGTTGTGTTCTTTAAAATCAAAGAAACGATTGCCATACAATATATTTGCTATTCTCTACAGATGTATCAGCAATACATTTATTTTTTATTAGAGTGAACTAATAAAGCCTCTTTTATTTTTCTTTTAGAGGTTATGGTTTCTTTCATAATTTCATTTTTTTTTGCGTTAAAATCTACTGAATGCTGACAAATCTTAGCCTTTCTTAAATAATCTTTATAATTAATAATATTAATTCGAACATTTAATGGTCTAGACTCTTGATATTTACCAATACAAAATTTATCAAAAATTTCATTTATTTACTATAACTTTATTAATACTCTTTGTTATTTTTTTAGCCAAAAACCATCGTACCCAGAAGTCCAGCTCCAGTGCGCGAGTACCAGGAAGACGTACCAAACCCAAACTACTACAAGCCTGCATTGCCTCACCAATACAGAACCAAACTCTACTCATTAAAACCCAACCCTAACCTCATTCTAGGCACTCCTTTGGACCAAAGGTACACTCCAAGCTTACAGAAGTACGATCTACATAGAAAACAGTACTCCAGGAATTTAGGATTGGACTACACGGGTCCCCATACGTTTGACGTCCAAGACTATGAGATTTACGAGTTGAAAAAGACTACTTTGCAACCATCAACAAAGTACACTGACCAAGAACTTCAACATAGGACCAAAGCAAATCAAAATACGAAATACGTACCGGAAATAGGGGTTGTATATTCTTCTGGTGTTAGATACTATGTTCCTCAAGTAGTTTATTATGATTCTAATGAAGCTGGAAAGGATTCTAACTCAGTATATGATCAGAACGATGAGAAATATTACTTTTACAGAGGCCAGCAATAGTTCATAGAGAAATATTTGAGTTAAATCCTCTAAAGATCTAAATTATTGTATTTTTTTGTATATTATACCGTATGTTCAGAAAAAGTCGGCGCCAGAGACGGCTGGGGAACGACAATCGATTATAAATTTGATGAGGTCAAGCCCTAGACGTTTTTTTCTTGGTCCGTTTTTTTATTGTTTTATTTTCTAATTGTGCTTACTGCCAGTTGTCTTTAACAAAGTTGTAATTTATTTATATATTGAGAAAAAATGTTTTTTAAATGGTATAGTTTAAAATTAGAGAAAAAAAATTGGAAATAAATTTGTGTGTCTAAAACATTCTATCCATTTTTTTTCTTTCTATAATTATTAGTGTTAAGGACGATTCACCTCGCCAAAATTATCATCGATCGTCATTCCCAGCCTTCTTTGACGCAATTTTTTTTTTCGATCATACGGTACAATTTTCATGACAAAAATAATTAAGTGCCAATGAAATATTCTATGATCAATTGAAAAAAAAATCAGAGTAGGTGTAGAATTAAACACAGAAGTGAAATGTTGTTTCTACGCCTACTATGACATCATTTTTTTTATCTAATCATACTGTATTTTTTTTACTTGATTAATGTTTTACCAATAATTATACCTTTCAAAAATAACGCCTCTTTTTAGAAGTGAGTTAGCTGATTTCTTCTGCCATATAAAAGCTAAATTATTTTATTTTAAATCTATTTTAAGTGATACAGTAGAAAAAAAAACCATACAAATTTAATAAAAATAATAAAGAAGAGTGTATTTAAAAATTTTGTGTCAGATAAATTCTAATATTTTAGTAATATGTTTTCTTTATTGTTTGATACAATTTATGACTTTTCGAATATAAAAAAAAATAATTTGACCAATCCAATGGTTAGAACTGTTTTTATTTAAGCTTTATTTTAATTTCGCAATCTGTAAGTCAATGCCAGTAACTTTACACCCTCAAATATTACCAGTAATATAAAATAAAACGAATAAAATAATTTATCACCTATTTTTTCTGTATATTTTTAGTTAAATCTAAGAAATACCTATTTGTATAATTATTTTTAGATATGCTGTATATTTTTTGTAAAAATATATTTTCATACTTTTATTTTTGATAGATTAAAAAGACAAAATATTGTATTTTGTCAGTCTGTCAAAAATAAAAAAAATAAATAGAGTTAATTATTAGATTATTTAAGTTGATAAATTAAGTAAATGTATATTCGCAATATTCTAATTAGTTTTTAATATAATTTGATTCTTAATGAAAAGAAATTTGTAAATACATATTTTAATATAATAAATAATGGTATAAAGATAAAAATATTAGTTTTTATTGTATGTTATGTTATAGTATTTATATGATGTTAGTTCTGTTTAAATTTGAAGGGTTCAGTGGGATAAACATGATAAGCCCTAATTTCTTAACTTTAGGGTATTACAATAATATAGTAGTACTGGTCTCTGCAATATATATAAACTCTGCTGGGCGATAAGCTGATAAATCCTATGATATATGCCTAGAATAAGTCAAGTATATGCATAATACTTGATTTCTGGTAGTAGAGATCCCCAGCTGTGTATTAGTTCTTATTCCAGTGCATTAGATATTAAAAAGGGATGTTAAGTGAATCTTAAAGAAGCTCCTATTCAAAGAAAATATGACTTGGACGAAACCAAAACTCTCGGTAGTTTTTTTAGAAATTTATAGTTCTCAACAACACACTTTATTGATGATTTTGGCTACTTCAGATTGGGTAAACTGGCAGATTATGTTATTCTCGTGATTCTTGAATGTTTTCCATCTAAAAAAAAATAAATAAAATATGCTAGAGAATGTCCAGGTGACGTTTTTTTCTTCTTTTTAGCATCTAATTTCATGCGTAATAGATAGTATAAGATGTATAATACGTTTAATGATAATTTTAAAATAATGCTTTTTTTCTACATTATCTTCTATCCTTGCCCCACTAAATTCGTTATGGGATTATTTTTTAATCATATGTAATTAGTTGCGCTATTAACAATACACACACACGTTACGATTTTTGAATAAAAATCACAAAACTGAAAAAAACCTTCTATTATTCATGTCTTCCAAGGTTGAAGATATATAATCTGTTCCGGAAAAAAATCTGATGTATTTACCTATTTTAAATGTCAAATTTTAGATCTGAATAGAAAATAATTAACAATAGCAGGATGGGATATGAATGATTGATCTAATGTTAGGTGAACAATATGTTAAGAAGGTGTTTTTGAATTGTAGGATTTTGCATATCATGGTGTATCAGAAATAGGTCATATTAAGCTGTAATATTTACCTACTATTTCTTATTATAACTTCTTAGTTGTCAGCAATTACAGGAAAAGCTAAATACAAATACCTGGACATCGGGGCATTAAGCTGAACATTGATAAAACTAAAATCATGTGCACTCCTTCGGAAAATCACAACAATGCTATAAAAATCGGCGAAGAACTATTGGAATCTGGCGGAATTCAAAAAAGTAAAACATAAAGATAAATAAATGCCTTTATTGTCAAAAAAAATTATAATTTGTAGACAAAGGTAAAGTAAACAAACAAAAGAGAATACAAACCAAGTATACAAATTACATTATCAGTCTTAATGTTTAAAATAAACATTTATAAATGTTTACAATGTCAAAGAATAAAAAAATAAAAATAAGATTCAAAAATATTTAGTAAATTTATAGTAAATATAGTAATAGCAAATATTAGACCAGTGTTGACAAGATCAAATTCGATTATCAAAATATAAGTCATTTACGGCGTACAAGGCCTTGTCTAGTAAACAAGATTTCAATGCTTTGCGAAATGAAGAAAATTATGTTGTGGATTTGATTTCAAATGGCAGGTGATTATGCATTTTTTTCGAGTTGTATAATATAGACCTTTTTACTAACTCTGAGCGTGGGGTAGATAGATGAGTACTTTTCTTGAGAAGCTGATACATGCTTACGTATTAGGCAAACGGATTCAAATATAAATAAGGAAGGAAGAGTTTAATATTTTTAATTTTTAAAAAAGTCCTGGCAATGAGTTCTGCTGTTTAGTCCCAGTGAATATCGAACAGCTCACTTCTGGAGCTTGATAATGCGGTTAAACTGAGTCGCACAACACGTACCCCAGAATGGAAGGGCATATATCTGAGGTGCGACTCAAAAAGTGCATAATAAACAGTCCTAGCCACTGACAAGTTAAGCTCCTCAGAAACAGATCTTAATGCAAAACAGGCAGAGCTTAATTTTTTCGACAAAGCATCTATAGGCATGTCCCATTTTAGAGAATTGTCTACAACAAGCCCTAAGAATTTTACAGATTTTACGACGTCAATGGTGGTGTTGTTAAGTACAAAAGGCTGCAGCGAGATTTTATACGACAAAGCTTTAGTTTTAGAAATGTTGAGATTCAGGGGGTTCGAATCGCACCAAGATTTAATGGTGATTAAGTCATTAAGTGATATTAGCAAAAAACAAAGTTATTGTTGATAAAATGTTTTTTAATCTACTGCATATTATATGTTGCATTAAACTAAGGCACCTCTTTGTGTAAGTTGACTAAATAAAATCATCCTGTATATGTTTTGTTACTGTTTCGTCGATGTATTACGACATATTACAAGTAAATACAGCGTCTCAAGTACAATACTGCACAAAAATGCTTTATTTCGTTCAAACAAAATAGAATGTGATGTGAACTTTAAAAGATTTTTCCATCTCTCAGAGAGGATGCTATGAATGCAGTCAGGCGACGTTTGCGTTGCCTTCAATCTAGAAGAGTTACCAGTGCAATCAGATGATACTTTTACCATTATTATGTGTTTTAGTACTCTAGTTCCATATATGGTGAGCGTGAAATATACATTTTCGAAAAAAAAATAAAGGTTTTAATATAAAATTTAGTTTTTGTTTGTAGGAATTTTGGAATTTGGTGGTTATTCACAGTGCTCTTCTATAAATAAGGTAATACTTACATTATATTATTTAATAAAAAAATTGAATGTGTTAGCTATTAAATTGATTATGATTTGAAGGATTTGATGTTGGAAAAGTAATAAATTAGAAAAATATTTTTTACGCATAAAAAATAGTTTTTTTGTTAAATTTAGACATTTTTTTTAGTCTGCAAAGTCTAATAATTCAGAATTATTATGGGTTTGTGGCATATTATGTTATTAAAATAAGCCCTTCAATTGATGCATTTTTTGACTACCCCTGTATCTCGGTTATCTTATAAGTTATCGAAAAGGTGAAAAGTCAATCCCATAGAGTTTTTTACGTAGAATTCAGTGGTGCAGCTAGTTTTTCTCTTGGATCTGTCATTCTTGAAATATGATCCAAACTTATGTTTTTTTTTAAATGGGATGCCCTATATATTTTTTTCCATAGCAACTGTTAAAATTGCCTTATATCTATCAAAAATAGTAGATAAAATAGTACTTTAACCGCAAGTACAGTACAGGTACAGCGAGGATAGGTTAAGAACTTTATTTCTTCTTGCACGTATTTTAATTGTTTCCATTTATGAAAACATTATTCATATACACTATACTTATTTTCCATAAATAAAATACTTTATTAAAAATAAATAATTTAACATGTTTTAGGGATATTATTCGTTCCAGTATGCAATAGACATGGAAGATATACTGAGTCAGCATTCTGAAGAAGGCAGAGATAGTGTTGCAAAGGGATCTTACAGCTTCCTACAACCTGATGGACTGATTCGTACTGTTCAGTACCAAGTCGATGGCCAAATGGGCTTCAAAGCTATCGTAAAATACAGTAAAATTCGCAGTAAGTAAAACTTTTTGACTTAAGCTTTATTAAATTCTAGACCAATTAAATTGTTCTTCAATTTAATTGATCTAAATTAACTATAAAAGGACATAAATGACATTTCAGAACCCTAATTGTATTTTAAATGTCATTTGTTCCTTTTAAACACGCCGTATTTTACTCATTCATCTTTCCTTTTAAGATTACAAAACACACTCCAATTAAAAATTCTTTCAACCATAAATTAGAGATATGGTAATAAACAAAGAAGACCATAATCTCTAAAACCTTTTACTTCTAGAGAATACAATAAATTTATGTTGAATATACGATAACATTATTAAAAAAGCATTATATTTGTTTCTCAATAAGGCTGTGCCCTTTCATATTTATTTTGTAGCGATGACATTTGTATGATCTTAATAGGTAAGGAAAATGAGGACAATAAATAGTGTAGAACTAATGTATATAGGGTGTAAATAAAAAATTAGTACAAAAAAAATATTATGTAGGTAGCAGATTTTTTTCTTAAATATAACGGTTTTTTTAGTATGTTAAGTTTCCTATTTGACTTTTCGTACAAGGGAAACGCCCTGTATATTATTTCATTTCTGAATGGGCTCTTTCACTATACTTTGGAATTAGCATAACTGAATAAAGCAATTAATTCTAGAATTTTCTGCTATCTCACTTTCGAAAAATTTGAAGTCGTTCTTAAGAAAATAAATAAAAACAAAAAAGCCCAGAATAAAAATCCGCACTCCGACCGGGCCACCATGCTGACCCACCACCACCTCCACACAAAGCCATTCAACCTTTTCCAATATGGCGGAGTTAGAAGTGCTTTATTTGGCGCGTATTTTAAAACCTCTTTTATTTCCAAATAGACATTTTTCACACAAATGTCGGGTTAGATTACGTAATAATTCACTAATTTTTTAATATACAGGGAGTCTAAAGCTCTCCACATAAGTATGGAATTTTTTGTATTATTACTTTTATGAAAACATCAGTTAGTTACTTTTCATAAAAAGGTCTGCTTTCTCAGAAAATAGGTAGGTAGTGTACTAGTGTGTAAATATTCAAACTTGAGGTAGCATATATAGGGGGGTGTTCAAAATCATCGGAAAAAGAAATAACCAGAAATATATGACAGAAAATAGCAATATAAACTAAATATTCAATTGCAAACACTTACCTACCATAGATTAGAATTTACTCTGAACGTTTGATAAATATATACTATTATGGACAGTATAGAAAGTTACTTGTCTTAGTAAAAGCCTTGGTAAATGCTCTTGGAATTATAAACTACATTGACTTGGATCAAAAAATATGCAATATTTTTTCTATGTTTTGCAGCATTACACAAATGGGAATAAATTTAAACTATAATAGGTGAGGGTAACTAAAAAATATAATATGTGTTTCAAGATTTTATATAGAAAAAAAACTAAATACCTTTTTGGGGGTTCGTAAGTAAAACTTACGCTTAGCTTAGTTTTCTTTACTCTTTCTCTTTACATAGGGCATTGTCTTTGTGGTAAAGACGTCATTCCTTTTTTTTGTAATTTTCTTCAATAAAATATTGGATATTCTGAACAAGATGGATTTAATAATAAATTCTGACGTATGTGAGGGGCAATTGTGACCTAAAAAAGACTTACATCCAGGCCATTTATATTTTCAAATGTCAATGTTGTCAATATCTTTCTGTGATCTTTTTGATGTAAAAAGCTTGATTCTTCTTCCAATATTTTACTTATAGTGCGGTAAGTGTTAACACCTCACTAGGGTAACAGAGGCTTTGGCCTTTGGCCTTTTTGAGGCATATTTAATGCACTTCTTGCCCGAGAACTACTAGTAGAAGTGAAATTATCTCTTTTAATAGCTGTCAACCATTTTTTACGAAGCTCGTCATTTTTGGGGAATATAAAAGCAGAAACCTTGGGACCCCCTGTATAATTATCGTGACAATTTGGAACAGAGCATGTAAAAGGTATGCTACAATAAAATGTTACTACCTACCAACAAAATTACAGACGTGTTCCAGAGATTGAAAAATATCACCTCTACAAATACTTGCATTTATTAAGATTCACCCTGTATAGTATTACAGGCAATTAATTCATTTTTTAAAATATTTTTCTGTTTTTTTTCAGATAACTTACGTGGACCTTTGAGATTTCCCAGGGATTTTCTCCATCCTCTGTACTTTTTTAAGCCCCTGAGTTTTGTTCCTTTAAATGTTCTGAAATCTTCAAAATTCAAAAATCAACGACACTAATGTTTGTTAATTAAGAGTATCTACAAGTAAAAAAAATAAAAAATAAAATACATTAGTTTTATTTTTCTATCAAATTTATTTTTTATTCCTTGTTGTTGTGATAGCATCAAATAGAAAAAAAATAACGTGTCACGTACAATATGCTCGAAGGAAAACGGCGTCAATGATGGCTATAAAATGAAGATCGTTGTCATTTTAAATTTAAAATTATATGGGGAATGTCATCGATCGTCATTTCCAAGCCAACTGCACGCCGTTTTTTTTTCGATCATACGGTATTTATAGAGTTAGTTACAAAAGTTATAAAGCTAAAAGAGACAAAAGAAATATAAATAGTTCAATAATAAAAATAACTAAAATACAAATAATACACAATAATATTATATTTTCGTTTGTAGTTTTATAAAAAAAATAGAAAATAATATATTTAAATAACTTAAGTTAGTTTGTACCTACTAGAAAACAATTTTGTGGGAGAATATTGTTTTATTTTTTCCAACTTCAATTTATTAACATAAACAAATTGCAGATTTCTATATCTGCAATATTAACATTGCAGTATGTTGCATGGCTTTGTTAACAGATGGAGCAAATCCATTTCATTTGTTAATAATAAAGATTTCTATAACAAGGAATGTATATAGTCTCTCAATCTACAAAAAGATGCCAGCACCTCTATTTGTTTGGTGATTTTTTTTTAAATAAAGTAAGAAACTAAAAGTTTATTGGAAATGGCACTAAAACTATGAGAAAATAAGTAACTAAAATTACAATGGTTTATATTTTTTACATAGGTAATTTCTCTATATCCAATACATTTTTTTCAAATATTTTATACCAATTTCAGAAATTTTATATGATCTGTATTTTCATTAATATTTAATGTATCGTTTTTCTGGAGTTGAAATATACTACCCCTAAAATATTTGCACTTATTTAAGACTGACCCTGTATAATAACTTTCAAAATAATAATATAACTGCGATACGAACGTTGGCGTTTATCTATTTTATGTTTTTGATGGGATGTTACCAACAAGACAGATGTTAAAAAAACTATCTCCAACGATTCAAGATGGGGAATCTCAAAAATTTGCGCATCATTTTTTAAATAAAGAAAGTTTTTGAACAAAGGTATAGGTCCACATATGTCATATGTTATAAGAAAGTTTGTGAACAGCTATGTTTAATACTGTATGATTTGTCAGGACGAGTCAATAAAAAAAATGATCTCTATATGAAGAAGGAAAAAGTGTTTTTCTTCTAATATGGTTCCAAGAAGATTGAAACGTCTTTTCACTTGTCATTAATGCTATTATTTCTTTTCTATAAATGACGAAATTGGTGTTGCAAAAATTCTAATTTAACATCTGCTCTACATCTTCTGTCTTTTTTTAGATAGGCTAGACTAGGTATTTTTACACAAATAAAGAAGGAAATTAAAGATAAAGGATTATACTATGTCCGCATTGTTGCACATTTTTAGACAATTTCTTTATTTTTAAGTTTTTGATCGTCAAACATCAACAAAATATTCCTTATGTTTGGACTAAATTTTCTCGAAAATAAAGACAATTTAAAATTCGGTTACAATACGGAAATAGATTGAAGTTTTGTGATAATAGTGATATAATTTATATGGTTTAGTAACAAATCGCTCGCTATTTTATGGCAAATAAATAAATAAAATATTTTTTTTAAATTGTATTCTTTATCAACTGAAAAATAATTTTTAATAAATCTAATATTCTTTTATAATTTTCTTTTTTTTTGACTGCTGCATTGAATGTCTTTCAAGTCCAATTATGTTTCAATATACAGGATGAGTCTTAAACAAGTGCAAATAGTTCTAGGAGTAGTATATTTCAACCCCAGAGGAGTCTATGAGGTTTTTTTCGCGAAAAAAAATTGAAATTTTAATTTTTTTAAACATTTTTGGATTTGTTTTAGTTTTTGGTTAAAAAACATAATTTCCTGATGCCTGAATATGGCAACATAGGTAGTACATTAAATTGAGAAGAAAGAAAACCCAGAAAAGATATCTCGTGGTTCTCAAAATTTTAGCAATTTTTTTTTGCTAAAAATGTTATTTTGGGCTTATTTAAAAAACGGTAAAGAAAAAATATGTTTCTTTTATCGAGATCTGCCAATCTTGATAATATTTGCACTTATTTAAGACTCACCCTGTATAATAACCCCATATAAAGGTACATTTTGCCTTTTAAATATATAAAAAAAATATATAAAACTTCTTACTACTAATTAAAAAAAAATAATGATTTAGATTCAAGTTTTCTAAAGTACTACTAGATATTTGGTGTACTGCCAATGTATTTTGACATTGTTGCAGATTTTTATTTTCTCAAAATTCTGTTTTCTTTCTTTGCAAAATCCAAAGAAAGTAGGGACTCGGTTCGAGATTATAAATAAAGGTAAAGAACAACCTTTCTCAGCTCATGTGAAAGTGGTTATTCAGGCATTTCTTTTCAACGTACCATGGCCGTTTTTCAGGTGCGTGTGGCATACAGGTGTCAAGTTCAATGGCAAAAGAAACTTTTACTCTTAGTTTAAGTTTTTAAGGATGTTTTCTTTGGTTATCAATTGAAAAAATAAACTTTGAAACAATAAAAAATTGTTTTTTGGATGAAACTTAATGTTTTATGGTGTATATTTTAGGTGACTGTAGTATCTGTGATATGTTTCGTGATTTGTGATGCTGGAAGTGTTGGACAGTACGCTCCAAAATATGATGTAAGTTTTATTTACTTATTAGTTATTATTTCTTATTAGTTATTTTAGTTTATTATTTCTTATTAGTGTATTCAATTATTTTCGGTCACGTCCTGTTTTACCGGAAATGACTACAACTTTTGATTTTTAAATGGAATCTTCGGTATTTTTTGCTATATTTGACAAAAAATGCTATTCTGAAAAGAATGACATAATAGAAACATAAGAGAAAAAAAGACGAAAAAAAATATATAAATTTTATAAACTTACTTTACTAAATCATTTGTAATGGTTGACTTTTGAAAAATCCGTTTGCCAAAAATAAGCTTTTTACGTCAAGCAGTTTAAGCAGAATCGTGGTTAAGAAATTACCCAACCTTTTGCAACACCCTGTATAATTTTTTTAAAAATTTCAAACTATGTAAAAAACCAAATAAATTGTCTAAGCGTTTTCCCGAAAGACTAACCGTTTTTTAAATAACAAATATTGTAATATTTGAGGGGCGTTTTCACCCTCTTGGAATTTGAGATTCGAGAAACCCCTCCTTATCGAACCTCTATACCCCACAGTCAATCCGTTTGCCAAAAATCAGCTTAAAACGTTAAGCAGTTTAAGCAGAATCGTGATTACTCAATGGTCATATTTTATGAAACACCCTGTATAAATTTAAAAAAAATCTTAAAATATGTAAAACAACAAAATAAAATACACGTGTTTAAGAGGTTTTCTCTCTAAAAAAAAATATTTTAATATTTGAGGGATAGTTTCACCCCCTTAGAATTCCAGTTTCGAAAAATCGCTTCTTACCGAACCTCTACGCCCTAAAGTCAATCTGTTTTCCAAAAATCAGCTTTTTACGTCAAGCGCTTTAAGCAGGATCGTGATTAATCAATGACCAGATTTTTCGAAACATCCTGTATACATTTTTAAAAAATCTTAAAATATGTAAAAAACAAAATAAAATATACGTGTTTAAGCGTTTTTTCGGAAACTTGGCCGTTTTTTAAATAAAAAATATTGTAATATTTGAGGGGTGGTTTCACCCTCTTGGAACTGGAATTTCGAAAAATCCCTTCTTATCGAACCTCTACACCCTAGAATCAACCTGTATGCCAAAATTGAGCTTCTTACGTTGAATGGTTTGAGCAGGATCGTGATTAATCAGTACGTCAGTCACAAGGATTTTATATATTAGTATAGATTTAAAATTAAAAAAAGGTACATTTTTTTCTAATAAAGTTTTTCAAAATTTGCCTATTTGTAAAATAGTGATAAAATAATACAAAATATACACAAAAAAACGGAATAAATTCTTTAAAATTCAAATCTGTCAACAGAAAATTCATAATCGACAAAAATCGTGTTACGGAATGGTTACCACGACGTCTCTTTTTTTTATGTTTCAAGTTTCAATATAAAGAAATAAAGTTTGTTCAACTAGAGAATTCTTAACAGTGACAGTATTCTACCATTTTAATTCGAAAATATATTATATTTTTTGTCATTTTTTGAAATTTCTCATCTGTCGAATACACCCCTGACTAGTTGGATTGACTTTATTTGACTCTTTTTTTACTTTTTTTTATTCAATTCAATCTAAAATAATTTATTTTCCAGAAACCCAAAGACTACAGCTTCAGTTATGGCGTCAAAGATCCCCATACAGGCGACATGAAACAACAATGGGAGAAGAAAGAAGGAAATACCATCAAAGGGCAGTATTCTCTTGTTGAAGCTGACGGTTCTGTAAGAACCGTAGACTACACAGCTGATGCAAAGCATGGTTTTAATGCTGTGGTCAAGAAAAGTGGACCTTGCATCATATCATGGGTGAAAGCAAGGAAGCTTTAAGTCATAATAATGTCCAGGTTTATCCTAATCATAATTATGATGAGGAAGAATCACATCAGTACGTGTATGAACATCAAGGCAAAAATAATGAGGAAGGTATGTTCAATCAAAGTATTACGTGGCTATACCTATAGACCTAGTAAAGTAAAGTAAAGTATAAAAGTGTATTTTAAGTTATTTCAATGCTATTTTTCTGATATATTTAAGGACTTGAAGATACCCCTCAAGATGTCGAAGACCCTAACCAACAATACATCTACGTCTACCCTGAACAACTCAAAGACCAAGAAGAAGCAACGGAAGAATCACGAAAAGTCCCGTACAAATCCAAACCAAAATACAAAAAACCTAACCTCATTGTCAAAGAGAAATTCGAAGATATATCTGTTGTTCCTGAACTGCCACTCAACATAAACTTGTTCAACAAAAATCGAGCTGAGACTATGATACCCCTTGATATTGAGTCAGTGAATCCTGTTGAAATTGATCTGGATCATTATCAAAAAACTCCTTTGCAAACAACTAGGTTAACTCCTGTTTCTTCTAAGAACGCAGTGGTGGGGAAAAAGAAAGAGGTATCTACAGAACTTACTCAGGAAGAATTGAATAAATATTTGGCAGAATATTATGCCAATGAAGATACAGGAAGTACATACTCTCAGCCATTGACAGAGACTGGTTTTAAGCCGGTTAGAACTAAGGGACTTTTAGAAAACACTACGCCAATAATTCCTAACACTTTTAAGTCCAATAAAAAAGTTCAGACCAGTCCTGGACTAAGACATTACGCTACTAATGGGAATTTTCAAACATTTTTTGAAAATAACAGTAAAGAAGAGAATAGGAGGTACCGAAAAAATTCGAATCATCATATTATAAAGGGAGGAAATAACCAGAAAGAAAAGAAAAATAATGTACCTAGATTTTATAGGGCTTTACCTAACGTGGGGTACATGAGATATGGTACAAGGATTAGACATACTTAGGTAGTAGATTTAAAAAATAATATATATTTATTTTATGTTTTAAAGAAAATTTTTGCTCAAAAATATTGAATGAGATAGTGATAAAAATGTGCAATAAAATCGATAAAAAATAATTGACTTAAACATTTAAGTTTATATTAAGAATATTTTTCGAAATAAGAAAAATGTAAAATTAAGTCACAGTTTTACAAATTATTCATAATACTTATTAGAGTAATTTCGGGTAATATGGAATACCATTTTTATTTTACCATGTAAATTTATAAATTTTAGAAATGACATTTTAGAAATAAATAGCTAGTAGCACCATACGATCGTAAAAAAACGGCGTCAAAGATGGCTGGGAATGACAATCGATGATAATTTTGGCGAGGTCAAGCCCTATACGTTATTTACTTGGCCCGTAATCTTCTTTATTACTTAATGACGTTTACTGCCAGTTGGTCTTAAGGTCGTAATTTATTTGTATTTTTATATTGAGTAAAAATGATTTTTAAATAGTTCAGTTTAAAATTCGAGAAAAAATAGAGATTCGCCCCCCAGTCGTCTTTGACGACGTTTTTTTTTCGATCATACGGTATTATCTAAAAAAGTTTCCTGTAAGATTTAGATAACAAAACAGATTATGAAGCTACAAAAGGACTACCTACTAACTTACTACTAACTGACATAATATGTTGATAGACCTTTAGACTAAAATTTGGTTTGAAAAAAGTCAAAATTTATTTTATTTTCTTATTTATATTATTTTTATGTGAAGTTGTTATTAGTAAGATTAAAATATAAGTATTTTTTTAGAGTTTTATAAAGATCTGTGCCGATATTCATACATCCTGAGCTGTAAATAAAAAACTGTTAAAACCTTAGGTTAAAACATACATTACTTACAATTACGATTAAAATCTTGTTATTAAATTGTTTTATTATTTATATTTCCTTAGAAAATCTTGTATATGATACGTTTATTAAATCTGAATTAAATATACTTTTTAATGTTCAATACTGAATGATTTATAAGCGCTTTACAAAATATAAATAACATTTTCACTAAATAACTTACAAAGTAAATTCCGTTTTATAGAAAATTGATAATTTTCGCAACTTTCACTATCATTCTTGTTGATTCAAATACACGAACCTATCTGAGAAAACATACAGAGGGTAGAAAAAAAAATTTAAAAAAATAATAGAAATAAAAGAGAACTAATAATTAATTAAATAATCTATAAAAATAAAAAAGTAGGGTTAGTTATACACTTCGAATAGCAGAATAACTATTATTTTTAATGTAATTTTTTTCTTCATACTAATTATATTGCAGACAATATTGCGTAAAAATTATAATCTATTAAGTAGATTGTAGTAGACTGTGTTAGTATCATAGTACGGTTTTTATAGACTACCGAATTACACCTGAAGAAACCTTGGGTGAAATATGCGTGACCACTGAACCGTAGGCTATCTTGACCTTACTATATTCCATTGGGTGTATTTGTTTTGTAGGTACCACAAGGTTAACAAAATCTATTATGTTTTAATGTCCGATTTTTTTTTTGATTTCATTATATTTCTTGTATTTTTAATACATTTAATAACATATTAGAATTATGTAAAGTGATCAGAAAGGAAGCCAAAAGTGCAATTATATACAGTGTGTTCCATTTAAAAAATCCCGATCCACTCACAGTTTTTACAGTAGGCCTGTACTTCAATAAAATTCTGAAGTTTTTTTTATTATAGGAGCTACAGAAGCCCGACGCACTATTGCCGAACCCTGTATATATTTCTATTTATGAACCACCCTGTATTTTTCTCGATAATGAGATATTCGATCGAATAGATCATATACGTAATGATCGCATGCATTGTGTTGTTGTGCTTTCACCTGTTGAACAAAAATAGAAACCATTAATTAAATAGAATAAACAACAAAAAAAACGGCCGTAATAACATTAGAACTTGAATAAACGAGTTTATTTGGAACAGAACTCAAATAAATTTAATACTGATATCAGCAATAAATTGGAAAAAAATCAGGGCGTGAGTAGTATTGGCGTTGGACGTTGCCACATTGGTTAAAAAATCAATGGAAAGATGAAGTCTCACAATTTCCAAGTACAAATGTAGACAAAGCAAAAACTCCAAGCTGTTAACTTGTAAATAAATAAATAAATGCCCTTATTGTCAAAGGTAAAGTACATAAAATACAAACAAAGTAACAAAGTAACAAAACAAGTAAACAAACAAAAGAGAATACAAAACAAGTATACAAATTACATGTCAGTCTTATTGTTTAAAATAAACATTGAGTAAAAAAGCAGCTGTGGTGAAAGAAAATTGAATTTTGTCAGAAGAGAATTAACGTATATGATATTTTAATTCTGAGTTTTGTTAATATGATTTGTTGGTACCGAGGTTGGTACAGAGAAACAAATAAACATAACTAGATAAATCAATTATTGGTAAAATGGATGAGTATAGTAGCATCAGTATGCTGATTATATATACATGATCTTCGTTAATAAACTTTTCTAATAAATAAGTAGCAAGCTATAATTTTTCTGTTCACATCTGGTGTGTATTTATCTTGGGATCACTCTGTGTACCCATCTATTTAAGATTATTTAACATAAAAACTACAATTATTAATTATTATCCAATATTGATTATCATCAATCAATAAACAGCTTGCAGCTTGCCCATTTCTCGAATGCAATGAAAATAACGGAGACAAAAAAAGGTAAATGGTTGTTTTCCATTTTCAATGCGTGATCTAGATCTCATTGATCTGGTTTGTAATTGTTTGTTTAGTTACTGGGTCAGAAATAACACGTTGTTTTCGCAAATGTCATGTTGTTCCTTAGAGAGTGATAATCAAAAATTTAAAAAGCTTTAAAGAAATCAAAACAAGAATTAAATAATAGTAGCGTTATAGCTATAATATGTAGGTAGCCCAAGCGAAGATTTTGGGATTTAATCAACTGCAGCAGAATAACATAAGAGAAGAAATTTCGGTAGATGATAATGCAATTTTATCGTCGTGTATAAAACAATATTATTTTTCCATAGCGAGTTACGTTTTGAAAAATATTCAGAAATTATTATTTCAAAACTGCTGGGTTGGCGTTGGTTTCTATGTAATTTGACAAATAAATAAAGCTGCCTCTTTAGTTGTCAGTTTTGAGTCAATATTTTTTAATTCTCTTTTGTGTCGATTGCTGATTGAATTGGAGCCAGAAATGGCTCAAAATGCAATAAGTAAATTATCAACAGATATTGGGGCTGAGGCGGCAAACGCCATATCCAAACTACTACAAAAATGGAAGCAATTTAAAAACGTGCGAGAAGAAATAAAGTTTTTAACCTATCCCCGCTGTTAAAGTATCATTTAATCTACTCTTGCGGTTCAAGTACTATTTTATCTACTATTTTTGATAGATATAAAGCAATTTTAACAGTTGCTATGGAAAAAAATATATTAATCTTGTGGTCAAAGTGTAAATAATCAAACAGTTTGTTTACAGTTTGCTTGGATATGTTGGGTCAAAACATACCAATCTATATTATGAGTCTCTATTGTACTTACATTTTTTTTTTTGATAAAGAATTTCTAATAAAAATATCAACCACTCTGTATTTTTTATGTTTCTCTACACCTCTAGAATAACTAGGATTTATATTTTTTACTTTATTTCATATATGACTAATTCTAACTCATGACCATTTTAATTGAGTTAATTTATTACAAGAACCTTTAGGTGCATTTTATTTAGTTCATACATACAACTAGAGATTTTTAAAAATTTCAAACTAGGTTGTCTTTAAATGCGTAGTTTTATGCGTGACAGTTCTAGATCTCCATATCTTACTTACTTTAAATGAACTTATTTTTATTAATATCTAATATCTAGTACGTATCAGGCCTAAGGTTAGGATCCATTACATCAAGATGCAGTTTAGATTTAGCTTTATAGCGTATAATTATATATATAATCCTATATCTTTAATCAACCTAATTGTCAAAGTGTTTCAGACTATAACGTGAAGAAATATAATAAATTTCTTTAATTTTTACACCAAAAACCTTATTTTTTATTACACACATTTTTAGAGTCCATATTTCACAAAGAAATATTGATATTAATCTCGAATCTCTGTAATCAACCTAGTAATCGAATTGTTTTCAGATCGTACTGAAAGATAATAAGCCTTTTTTTAAACTGCAATGCATTGTCATTGTTGATTTAGGTTGACAAGTTTACAAATACGGTATAATAACATATTAACGGTTACAATAATAGTACCACGAATCTCGATCGTACGTTCTAATGCAATCGCCTATGAACTTTAAAATGAATTACAATAGGAGGGGTTCATTCAACAATATATTTTGCATATTCAGTACCAGGTCTATGTGTTAAATCATTCTATCAAGGCGTGGCTCAGTGATGGTTTCAACACGAAGATCTGTAATTAGAGTTCTAATTAACCATTAATATTATTATTGATTGATGCATTATAAAAACCTCGAAAAGAATATATTAAAACCGAATTATAACGAGAAAACTGTCCTGGACTGGGTCCTTTGAACTGGATGGCATATGTCGATCGCCAGTTTACCATTAGTTGAAGAAGTATGATTCTTGGATTGGAGTGTATAAATTCATTATTAAATAACATTATTATCATCAAGAGAATATACTAAAACCGAATTATAACGAGAAAACTGTCCTGGACTGGGTCCTTTTAAACTGGATGGCATATGCCCATCAGAACTTTACCATTAACTGAAGAAGTATGATTCTTGGATTGCAGGGTATAAATTCATTATTAAATAACATTATTATCAGCAAAATAATATACTAAAACCGAATTATAACGAGAAAACTGTCCTGGACTGGGTCCTTTTGAACTGGATGGCATATGTCCATCAGCAGTTTACCATTAGCTGAAGAAGTATGATTCTTATATTGGAGGGTATACATTTATTATTAAATAACATTATTATTATCAAAAGAATATACTAAAACCAAATTACAACGAGAAAACTGTCCTGGACTGGATCCTTTTGAACTGGATGGCATATGTCCATCAGCAGTTTACCATTAGCTGAAGAAGTATGATTCTTGGATTGGAGGGTATAAATTCAATATTAAATAACATTATTATCATGAAAAGAATATACTAAAACCGAATTATAACAAGAAAAACTGTTCTGGACTGTGTCCTTTTGAACTGGATGGCATATGTCCATAAGCAGTTTACCATTAGCTGAAGAAGTATGATTCTTGGATTGGTGGGTATAAATTTATTATTAAATAACATTATCATCATTAAAAGAATATACTAAAACCGAATTATAACGAGAAAACTGTCCTGGACTGGGTCCTTTTGAACTGGATGGCATATGTCCATCAGCAGTTTACCATTAGCTGAAGAAGTATGATTCTTAGATTGGAGGGTATAAATTTATTATTAAATAACATTATTATTATCAAAAGAATATACTAAAACCAAATTACAACGAGAAAACTGTCCTGGACTGGGTCCTTTTGAACTGGATGGCATATGTCCATCAGCAGTTTACCATTAGCTGAAGAAGTATGATTCTTGGATTGGAGGGTATAAATTCAATATTAAATAACATTATTATCATGAAAAGAATATACTAAAACCGAATTATAACAAGAAAAACTGTTCTGGACTGTGTCCTTTTGAACTGGATGGCATATGTCCATCAGCAGTTTACCATTAGCTGAAGAAGTATGATTCTTGGATTGGTGGGTATAAATTTATTATTAAATAACATTATCATCATTAAAAGAATATACTAAAACCGAATTATAACGAGAAAACTGTTCTGGACTGGGTCCTTTTGAACTGGATGGCATATGTACATCAGCAGTTTACCATTAGCTGAAGAAGTATGATTCTTGGATTGGTGGGTATAAATTTATTATTAAATAACATTATCATCATTAAAAGAATATACTAAAACCGAATTATAACGAGAAAACTGTCCTGGACTGGGTCCTTTTGAACTGGATGGCATATGTCCATCAGCAGTTTACCATTAGCTGAAGAAGTATGATTCTTAGATTGGAGGGTATAAATTTATTATTAAATAACATTATTATTATAAAAAGAATATACTAAAACCAAATTACAACGAGAAAACTGTCCTGGACTGGGTCCTTTTGAACTGGATGGCATATGTCCATCAGCAGTTTACCATTAGCTGAAGAAGTATGATTCTTGGATTGGAGGGTATAAATTCAATATTAAATAACATTATTATCATAAAAAGAATATACTAAAACCGAATTATAACAAGAAAAACTGTTCTGGACTGTGTCCTTTTGAACTGGATGGCATATGTCCATCAGCAGTTTACCATTAGCTGAAGAAGTATGATTCTTGGATTGGTGGGTATAAATTTATTATTAAATAACATTATCATCATTAAAAGAATATACTAAAACCGAATTATAACGAGAAAACTGTCCTGGACTGGGTCCTTTTGAACTGGATGGCATATGTCCATCAGCAGTTTACCATTAGCTGAGGAAGTATGATTCTTGGATTGGTGGGTATAAATTTATTATTAAATAACATTATCATCATTAAAAGAATATACTAAAACCAAATTATAACGAGAAAACTGTCCTGGACTGGGTCCTTTTGAACTGGATGGCATATGTCCGTCAGCAGTTTACCATTAGCTGAAGAAGTATGATTCTTGGATTGGTGGGTATAAATTTATTATTAAATAACATTATCATCATTAAAAGAATATACTAAAACCGAATTATAACGAGAAAACTGTCCTGGACTGGGTCCTTTTCAACTGGATGGCATTTGTCCATCAGCAGTTTACCATTAACTGAAGAAGTATAATTCTTGGATTGGAGGGTAAAAGTTCATTATTAAATAAAACTATTCTCATCAAAGGATATACCAAATAACCTACTAATTAATTTGATACCAAGTATAGAATAAAATTATATTTTATATTTTCTGTTACTACAAATTTTATAAAAAAAATAATTTGGTATTTTAACCAATTAAAATTAAATTCACTCATTAAAAATGAAAATTTATAAATGTATAACCCACACAGACATTAATGCCTTGAGGATGACGTTTAGCAATATTGCTTGAATAGTAATCAGTTGAATTTTCATAAATTTTCAACTTAAGAAACAGATGGTTGATGCTTGTATTTTAACACCTATTTGATTTCTATAAATACTGTTCTAATAAGGTTTTCTAACTGTTAGTGCTTACTAAATCGATGTAAACCATTATTAACATGTGTTTTATAATTTAGAATTAATTTAAAACGCTTTTTCTATTATGCCTTCTTATTAATGCTCATATACATTCATCGGATGTCAGCTGCTGGATGTTAAATCTTTCTAGAGTCGTTGGATAGACTGTAGAAGTTTTAATAATGTAGAATTTGATAGTAGGTATCAATAGATATAAAAGAACTAAATAAGGTACCATATCTCTGATGCTGTAAAAAAGGAATCATAATTATTAATTAGAAACAATTTTATTTTTAATTGAAACTGTTCGAAATTACAAAAATGACATAATACTTCGGGCACGGCTGTACAAAAACTTGTTTTTAATATTTTACGTGATTCAGAAATACAGATTTCATTCTACTGATAAAGATTAAAATGGCAGATACATAATACACAGTCCTAGATTAGAATTTTTAGTTATAGGGTGTCCCAGATAAAGGATGTTTTAACGTAGTTTATGTCTTGGGGGTAAAAAATAAACTACTAAAAATTCAAATTCCTTGCTTTTGTAACATATTCAAAACTTACTTATAACAATACTAGCGTGAACCCGAATTAATCATTTGTAATGGTGATACAAACGGGATAAAATTTTCTCATATTTATGTCAGCATGAGAAAAAACAATATGGCGATATTATTATATAACTTGATAATATTTGAGGGCTGGTTTCATCTCGTTGGAATTTGACTTTCGAAAAATTCGTTTGCCAAAAATAAGCTTTTTACGTCAAGCAGTTTAAGCAGAATCGTGGCTAAGAAATTACCCAACTTTTTGGAACACCATGTATGATTTTTTAAAAAAAAATCAAAATATGTAAAAAACCAAATAAATTATGCTTGTCTAAGCGTTTTCCCGACAGACTAACCGTTTTTTAAATAACAAATATTGTAATATTTGAGGGGCGTTTTTACCCTCTTGGAATTTGAGATTCGGGAAACCCCTCCTTATCGAACCTCTACAACCCACAGTCAATTCTTTTGTCAAAAATCAGCTTTAAACGTCAAGCAGTTTAAGCAGAATCGTGATTACTCAATGGTCATATTTTATGAAACACCCTGTATAATTTTATAAAAAAAATTAAAAGATGTAAAACAACAAAATAAAATATACGTGTTTAAGCGTTTTTTCGGAAACTTGACCGTTTTTTAAATAAAAAATATTGTAATATTTGAGGGGTGGTTTCACCCCCTTAGAACTGGATTTTCGAAAAATTCTTTCTTATCGAACCTCTACACCCTAGAATCAACCTGTATGCCAAAATTGAGCTTCTTACGTTGAGTGGTGTTTGAGCAGGATCGTGATTAATCAGTGAGTCAGTCACTTAAGGATTTTATATATTAGCATATATTTTATGCTCCTTCGTATAATTGACAGATGGAAACTGTCATTTTTAATTTAGAAAGAGGTACTAAAAAGTCAAATAATTTAGGTACATATTGCTCAAAAGTCCATCAAAATCGGTCCACTAGGACAAAATATATTAAGCTTTAAATTTAAAATACAAAAAAAATAGTACCGGTTTAATAAAAGCATCTCTCTCTGTACACTTGGTACCAACTAATGGGTCTTCCCGGACCCACCCATATTACCCACTCTATGATCGGTACCTTAGCGTCCTTGTGCACAATTTTACTACTTTCAAGTACTACTTTTCGTGTTTTTTAAAAATATATAATAGCAAACGTTGTTGCTGCACTCAAATGCAACTGCATTTTTAACATATGGGCTTGGTCGCTTTGGTACGATCGGGTTTTTTGGGGTTGTATATAAATTGAACTATGGGCTGATCTTGGGTTAGTGTATAGTTGGGTGAAGTACTGTTTAGTTTGTGAAATATAGTACCTTTGTATTACATAATGATTATGAAGGTAAGAAGTACAATTTTTATTAATATTATTGTAATTTTCCAAATGTTTCAAAATTATTTTTGTAAATTCAAAAAAAAATACTTAAAGAAATACACAGGGTAATCTACTATTAAAATTGCCTTATATCTATCAAAAATAGTAGATAAATAATACTTTAACCGCAAGTCTAGATTAAATGATACTTTAACAACTTTTTTATAACAACTTTTTTAAAAACTTTATTTCTTCTCGCACGTTTTTTAATTGCTTCCATTTTTGAAAATGTTTGTATTCCTTTTCATAAGTTATTCGGGATTTCAATGGAAGTAGTTTGGATATGGCGTTTGTCGCCTCAGCCGGAATATCTCTTGGTAATTTACTGATTTCGTTTTGAGCCATTTCTGGCTCCAATTCAATCAGCAATCGACACGAAAGAGAATTAAAAAATATTGACTCAAAACTGACAACTAAAAAGACAGCTTTATTTATTTGTCAAATTACATAGAAACCAACGCCAACCCAGCACAATATTTTTTCTACTCGTAATAAAGTCCTTGAACTAATAATTTCTGAATATTTCTCAAAAAGTAACTCGCTATGGAAAAAAGTATTGTTTCATACACGACGATAAAATTGCATTATCGTTTAAAATACCATTTTATCGTCTTAATTGTATAAAAAATAACTATTAATCATCCGTTGATGATGCTAACATGGTTAGCGAAATGTGTGTCCAGTGTTTAAAAGTAGTGTTCTGGTGTATTGCGGTGGATTAGTGTTTTATTTTGCTGTTGTATCACCAAAGGTGCTAACCTCCAACAGCAATAATAAAATAAATACATTAAAAGAACACGTTTTTTGGAAGTTTCAAGTTATAGTAGGTAATATTTATTTTGTTTTTCACTATTTACCACAGATATCTATGCTTATACTCTAGATCTCAATGAAAAAGAATAGAATTTAACAATGAATGAAAATGAAATGACAGAAAGCTTGTAAGATTTAACTATACACAAATATATACACATACATAAATTAAATGATACAGACAAATGGCTATATCTAGATTTACAACAGGTGTTATGTTTCTATTGGCGATTGAATTAGCAACATTTTTTACAGACAGCGTTTTCTTGATATTTATTACTGTTTTATGAATGGATTTTGCTCGCGGTCAGTGTAGTAATTTGTGTATTTAAACAATTCTATTAATTGCTTAATGAGACTAATTGAACTTGTCGACTTGTTTATATACAGGATGACCTAATTTTACGTTAAAATTATGTAGTTTTTAAATGTATTGCGATTTATTTCGTGTCTTAACAAGAAATAGTAAGATATTTTTTGAATCTTTAATGAAATAGCAGAACTTAAGAGCCGAAGGAAATATACGAAGTAGTACAATAAATACCAATTTTGCGAAAAAAGTACCAAAATTACCAAATTATTTCCAAAAAAATACCAAATTAGAACCAAAAATACCAAATTAGTATTATTCTTTTTAGTATCTAAAGAATTTAAGATATTTAGAACTTTAGGGCCTATTCACGGCAAACTACGATAATTAGGTCAGAAAAACATATAAGCTTAATTCGAGTTCCAAAAAGTACGATTCTAGAACGGTTTAAAACAACCGCACAGTCTAATTACGACAATCATTCATGTCAAAAGTTGTAAAAAATCATATTGTGCCAGTGTTCTGAACCGTTCTAGAACCGTACTTTTTGGGAACTCGAATAAAGCTACTGTCATGACACGTTTAAAAAGTCATTTTAACTGTTCCATTAACATCGATACTTCAAAAATTTATAAAATAAAAGCTGGACATAAAAAGTAATTGAATTTTTTGTTATTTGCGCCATTTCTTACTTATAAGCTCAAAAATATAATTATCATATGCACAAGAAAAATAAGAAATTCTAACGAGATCCATATGTTTCCATGATGCGAGTTCTTTAATTTCTCGACATTTCGTCGACATTTCTCGATATTTGTACCGTTTTTGCGTAAAAACCATTTTTATGCATTGAAAAATTCCAAGTTTGGCAATTAATATCGGGTACAAATCAAAAACGGTAAACTAATAGGATTGCTCATCCTCATAAGACGTACGTTCGCTTCTTCCCGCGCTTCAGCTGACAGTTGTGACGTCATTGTAGCCCTTGTCAAAGCCTTCGTGGCCTTGTCATTATAGTGTGTATTATTAGTTGCCTATGGTAAACTTATAAAAATAACAGCTGAGAAATTTTGAGTTAATTATTTTGTCAATTTTAAATGTGAAAAAGAGAGTGTATAAATATGTTCATTTTGTGTTGTGGATTGTGACAAAGTGCATACTAAGTACCCACGACTTTGCTTATTAATTATTTTAAAGCAAAATATGGAAGTACTCTAAAAATAATGCTTGCAAAAGGTGATGCTGGGAACTGCTGTTCTTAAAAATGCATTATCCGATTATTTAATACGATTTATACAGTTAATTTTCTATACTGCATACATATAAGGTGTTTAAATAAATAAACTAAAAAATAAAAGTTTTGCATTCGGTAACCAATAATGCACGTGTGTGTATTATTGGTTGCCGGATAAGGACTAATAACCATGACAAGGGCTACAATGACGTCACAAAACGAGTAGTTTTCGCATGCACCTGGCGGACACTTTTGGCTGAATGAGCAGTCCTATTAGGTTAACTGTTCTTGGGTACAAATAACGTATTTTGCAAATAGGCCAGCAACCTAACCTCGAAACACAAGTAATTATTCTTATGTATGTATATTTCGAGGTATATTTTATTGTTAAGTAGGTACTTAACCTTGGACACCAAATATAAAAACTTTAAAATACTTCATATAAAATAGGTCAACACCAAAAATTTTTGATCGTGTAAAAAGCGCGAAGGCGGCTCATTTTCAGCCAATGGGCTAGAAATGATGCAATCAGCTTCCCGGCTGTCGACACGGGCGTCTAATCCACATCCACCGTTGCCAGATGTCCAACAAAATACCTGTTTAATACCAGTTTAATACCAAATAAAACCAGTTTATTACCAAATAATACCAAATTAGTACCAAAAATACCAAAAGTACCAAAAAAATACCAGTATTATCAAGTGCTTGTACAATAAATACCAGCAGAGGTTTGCCTCTCGGAAATATATATTATATTTTAGAAATCTGCCTAAGGACTTATCCCGATCCTGCCGTGTTAAGCCACACAAAATTTCAAACATACGTGCTTTGATTAAGGCTTGATTAAGGTTTGCAGAGCTTCAGCATTTGCCATAAAATAGCGACCAATTTGTTATAAAACCACATAAATTATATATCACTATAATCACAAAACTTCAATCTATTTCCGTATTGTAACGGAATTTTAAATTATGACTTTATTTTCGAGAAAATTTAGTCCAAACATAAGGAATATTTTGTTGATGTTTGGCCATCAAAATCTTAAAAATAAAGAAATTGCCTAAAATGTTCTACAATATGGATATAATATAATCCTTTATCTTTAATTTCCTTCTTAATTTGTGTAAAAATACCTAGCCTGTTTTACATAAAACGTTAAATTCCGAACGCTTATTTTGCTAATTTCTCAGACTAGTGAAATGAACTCTTAAAGAACAAGATATTTATTGCAAAAAGGCTATTTTTGTTTAAAAACAACAAAAAACCTTTAGCAACTATTCTTGTTCAGTTTCTAATTCTCAAAATATTTCTAGGCTTAATTTTAATCTTCTATTATCTATAAGAGATATTGAAAGAACTTAGATTTGTTATTATGCATTGATATCGATTAATTTCAATTCATAATTATACCTTAGGTGAGATATTTCAATTATTGTAATAGGATATATTATCTATATCTATGGCTCGGATTATTGGATTTCTATTTTCATTTTCATGATGTATTAATAATTTTGTGACATTGATTTCACGATTGTTTTATTCTGAAGATGAAAATGAAAGTTTTTTAAACTACTTTTACCTTTTTAAATAGGCATATTCAATGCCTATTTTATAAACAATAACTAAAACATTTTTGCTCTATAAGTATTTTGCTCCTATGGGAGTTTTCTGAAGTTTAATTTAATTTATACAACTTAATATACAAGGTGTTCTTTAATGACAAGCTGATATTTCAAGGGGTGACTCTTGGAACTCTTCTAAGAAAAAACTTCTTGTGAACTTTATGTTCTAAACAGTATAACTTTTGAGATACAAAGATAATTGGATATATAAAAAATAATATTAACTTAATTAAAGCGTTTTTTGATGTATTTTTTTGTTTATTTCAACCAGTGGAATCTATAGAGGTTTTAAGAAGAGTTAAAAGACTTAAAAATATTCTTGCGGTAGTTCAGAATTCTATTTCACAGCTGTGTGTGTATACAATTTTTGCAAACATAAAAAGAATTTTTTTTGGATAATTGTAATATAAATAATAAACTGTCCAGGTTGCACAATTATAATATCGTTTCTTCTTTTTCAGTCTCTTACAATACTAGCTCTGGTTGTCACAGTCAGAGCTGGGATTTTTCCAGAACCAGCTTTACCAGCCTACGGATACGCCCATGGTCCAGCTTTAGCTCCGGCGTTGCCTGCTCTACCAGCATTTCCTACTCCTACTTATATTAAACCAGCTTACGCAGCTCCAATCGCTCGCTTAGCTCCACTAGCTCATCCACCAGCTTACTTTAAAGCAGCTCCTGTAGCTCCATCTGTAGATTATGCGGTAATATTCTTATTTTAATACGGTTTTTTTATTATTAAAAAAACTTTACTGGTATACAGAATTTTTTATCATGAACAAAAATGTCTGATAAACTTAAAATTTCAAAAGATAAAACTTAATTATCAAAGAAAGCAGACCATATTGTGTCTCGTTCTAAGAAATATTTGAATTTTGCCATCAGCTTTTTTTTATTTAATTGTAATTAATTCTCAATTCAGAATCTGTCTTTTATGTCCGATTTTATTTTCATCCTTTAATTCGGATTGCCAACAACAGTCTATAGTGAAATCGGCGACATATGTTATCTGTAATTTGGCTGGTACAATACAAAGAAAGTGAAATTGAAGATGTAATGATGGTAGATACTTCCAATACATCCTCGACAATGAAAATTATCAAATTTAAATAGGTACATAAATGTTTAGAGAGTTCATAGTTAACAGACAATATGACACGACTAATTATTAAAGGCTCATTAGCATTTTAAAACTTATGACACTAAATTGTGAATGAAATTTTTATAATATACTGCCTATTTTTATAATATACTTACTACTAATAATATGACGAATAATAATCTACATGAGAAAAAGCAAAGAAAAGTTTGGTTTTTATTTAAAAAAATAGCCAAAATATCAAAAATGTTGATCTACATTATATGAAAATATTATCAATTTTTTCATGCAATGATTAGGATAATATTTGATTGTAGAAATGATCTGCGATAAAACTTAACATAAATAACATTGCAATGATACCGTATGACCGAAAAAAAATGGCGTCAAAGACGGCTGGGGAATGACATTCGATGATAATTTTGGTGAGGTCAATCTCTAGACGTTATTTCCTAAAAATTGATATAAAACTTGTAAAATTAGTAAAATATCACTGACAAATTATTGATCTCCGTTGAATAAACACAGGGGTGTTAAAAATATCTATTTTATTTTGTAGATTTTCGTATAGTGGCAAAATATTCAGTCTTTTTTTCAAGAAATAGCATTATTATTAGAAAACGATAATATTTAATTCTTCACTACTTACACAAATTTTCATTTAATAAATAAAAAATATTACTTGAATATTATTTAGGTAAATCTACTTATATCAACCTGTTTATTTTTATGATTTACCTTCGCCAGGCAGTCAAGAATCATCATTATTTTTAGCTTATTGAACCATTTCCAATTATGGTGTAACTTTCCTCACACAATATATATTTTTTTTATGAAATATATTTGAATAATTATCTCAAAATTAGAAAAGCTAATCAATATAAATTAAACAACCGCTTTAAATGTAATAATTCTCTGTTGCCATTTTAAAAAAAAATATGCGATTTAAAAAAATAGTTCTAAAATATTACGTTCACCATAAAATCAAGAATTATAAATTGTGTGGTTTTTCTAAAAATAATTAGTCACTTTTTATAACAATAAGAAAAATATAATAAGTACATATATAATTTGAACTCTGCATATATAACTATTTTTAATTAATTATTTATTACCCTTTTATTACTTTTTTTCTAATTAATTTATTTTTATTTTTTTCTGTTTTTTGTTCTAATAATGTTATTCACCATAATGTCAAGAAAACATTATATTTAGAGGGGAGAATTTTTATGAATATTTTTTAGGTGTTTTAACGTTGTAGGGCAACAAATTTCTTGCTAAATTATATATGTTTAAAAAATCTCTTACATTATTATTAATTATCATTTGTAAGATTTAAATCTAGACAATGTTATTTAACACACACCAATATAATAAGTTAACAAGCCAATCGAAGATTTTATCAAACATTCAGGCGTATGCATGATTTTTGTTTATTACGAAATATTCAAATCCGTTGCTCGTGAAAATTAATTATGATCAACCAACTATCGACAAACTTACATAGACATGACACACCTTTTTTACTATTTCTTAATAATTTTATTCAATCTGCATACCATGACCGTAATTTGACAGTTTTTTTTTTAAATCTCTGACTTTTATCTAGATGAAAATATATATGGTGAAATTTATACCTTGTTAAATAAAGTTATATTTTTTATCAAAAAAAATATTGACGTATTATATGGTTCTTGGACCACACATGCTCTGTTATACCAGTTTTTCACATCTTTGCTTATGTTTTATATGCTAAGTCGTACATTTAGAAGACATTTTGTCTAATCTGTTTTACAATATCCTATAATATTTTTTATTCTTTTTGTTTGATTTTCAGGCTTATCCAAAGTACGAATTCAAATATGGAGTGGCCGATGGACATACTGGTGACCAAAAACCCAGAGTGAAGTCAGGGATGGCGATGTGGTTAAAGGACAGTACTCACTGGTGGAAGCCGATGGTACTGTTCGAACTGTGACGTATACAGCTGATGACCATACTGGATTCAACGCTGTGGTAACCAGAGTAAGTTTCTTTTTGACAGTTCTTGTTTATTTATACCTATTTCTGTCGATTTTTATATAGGTGACAAATATATTTTTTCTGCAGAATTAATAATTTTACTAGTATTTATTTGATTTTTTCAAGCACAAGTTTTTAAATTGATGTATTCGCGACTTCTTTATGAGATGAAGTTCTCATTGATGTTAAGAATAATAGGGCGACCCTGTATATTGATAGTAGGTGGCTCAGTGATCAGTGATCCTAAAAAGTTTCATGACAGGTTTTCTTTTTGAGATTTTTACTCTTCTCCATCTGCACTTCTATAAACATATTTTGTAAAACATGCGGTAAGAAAGATAAGAATAAAAATTTCAAGACCTGATGACCTGAGAGTATTATTCAAAACTTGATCATCCTCTTAACAGCTATTAATTAAGTGCTATACCGGGTGAGTCTTAAATAAGTGCAAATATTTTCAGAGCTGGTAGATCTCGCTAAAAGAAACATCTCTTCTCTTTACCGTTTTTGAAATAAGTCCAAAATAACCGAATTATTTTACTGTGAAAATTTCCAAAAAAAATGATTTTTTGCTTAAATTTTGAGAACCACTGGATCTTCTTTCTTGTAAAATTAATCTACTACCTATGTTGCCAGATTATCGAGAAATTATGTTTTTTAACTAAAAACTAAAAAATTTTCATAATTTTTTTCAAAAACGGAAAAACATCATAATCATGTTTCTGGGGTCGAAATATACTACCCCTAAAATATTTGCACTTATTTAAGACTTACCCTGTATAGTTATTATTCTGATTTTCTTTCAACTAGAGTGGACATGCTGCCCATCCAAGTGCCCCAGTAGCTGTAGCTCCTAAAATCATTGCAGCCCCTAAAGTATATGCAGCTCCTGCTGCTTATACTCCATACGCCCCATATGTACCCCCATATGGCCATGGGCTGGACTTGGGATACTACAAAGGTTAAAATAACGACTGATTTTTCGTTTAGCTCGATTTGTATTACTTAGGACCTCAGCAAACATTTTTAAATATATAATTTATTTTAATTTTAACGTAGTGTAGAATGGTTTTTAGATTTTTTATATTTGTTATTTGAATATATTACTAGCTTGTTCATCAAAAAATATATAAAAAAACATATTATAATGTAGTTATTTATTTTTTATATGTGTGTTAATAAAATAATTGTTAGAATAATCTATATAATGTTAAGTTTTGTTTAGAATACATTTTTGTGTATATAGAATAAATTATACGTTCATCACAATTTTATTTTTTCTCAGTTAAAAGTAGCATTTCATAACCTGGTATAGCCAGACATGTACAGCTGGTTCCAAAAAAGATGAATACGACTCTTTATACATTTTTTTCGAACATTTGGGCAGTGTATATTTATGTGTCGAGTATTTTGACATGTTAAGGTTATTATGACATTGTATAAAACAACTTTGCTTTTGACAAAGTGGCAGATAAATTTTTCAGAACGTCAGCATGACATGAGTAGAGAAATGGAGGACTGGTATCATAGAATATACTGCCCGAAATAATAAAAATATGTTTTAAATCGTATTCAATTTTATTGGAACCAGCTGTACATATAAAAGATGTCAAACATTTATCATGTAACCTAACCATTACCCACTATTTTGTTACAAGCAGTTTTTATAAAATAAATATGTTTTTATTATTCTTATAGAGATACTAGCGTGTACCAGCGACTTCGTTCGCGTCGAATTAATCATTTGTCATGATGATGATAAAGCAAAGCAAGAATTTCCATTAACATACAAACTGGATAAAATTTTCTCACATTTATGTCAGCATGAGAGAAAACAATATGGCGATATTATTATATAACTTGGTAATATTTGAGGGGTAGTTTCATCTCGTTGGAATTTGACTTTCGAAAAATCCGTTTGCCAAAAATAAGCTTTTTACGTCAAGCAGTTTAGGCACAATCGTGGTTAAGAAATTACCCAACTTTTTGGAACACCCTGTATGATTTTTTAAAAAAATTCAAAATATGTAAAAAAAACAAATAAATTATGCTTGTCCAAGCGTTTTCCCGAAAATTAACCGTTTTTTAAATAACAAATATTGTAATATTTGAGGGGCGTTTTCACCCTCTTGGAATTTGAGATTCTAGAAACCCCTCCTTATCGAACCTCTACACCCCACAGTCAATCCGTTTGTCAAAAATCAGCTTTAAACGTCGAATCGTGATTACTCAATGGTCATATTTTATGAAACACCCTGTATAAATTTATAAAAATCTTAAAATATGTAAAACAACAAAATAAAATATACGTGTTTAAGAGTTTTTCCGAAAAACTGACCGGTTTTAAAATAAAAAATATTTTAATATTTGAGGGATCGTTTCACCCCCTTAGAATTCGAGTTTCGAAAAATCCCTTTTTATCGAACCTCTACGCCCTAAAGTTAATCCGATTTCGAAAAATCAGCTTTTTACGTCAAGCGCTTTAAGCAGGATCGTGATTAATCAATGACCCGATTTTTCGGAACACCCTGTATACATTTTTAAAAAATCTTAAAATATGTAAAAAAACAAAATAAAATATACGTGTTTAAGCGTTTTTTCGGAAACTTGACCGTTTTTTAAATAAAAAATATTGTAATATTTGAGGGGTGGTTTCACCCTCTTGGAACTGGAATTTCGAAAAATTCCTTCTTATCGAACCTCTACACCCTAGAATCAAGCTGTATGCCAAAATTGAGCTTCTTGCGTTGAGTGGTTTGAGCAGGATCGTGATTAATCAGTATGTCAGTCACTTAAGGATTTTATATATTAGTATAGATAACACCCTGTAGCTACAAAACAAAGCAAAATCGGAGCTATGTTGAGATGAAAAAATGTTTTTTGAAACACCCTGTATAGAATATTTTCAAACTGCCAATTTACAAGTAATAATAAGAGTACATATGTAATTTTTTCAAAGTATCTTATCTTCGGGCAATCTTTATATTCTGCGCGATAAAAGAATTCGATATTGTAAAGATAACGAATAACATAATAATAATAATAATAATGCGGGCTGTGGACAAGTTGTATAACAAGGTGATAGCTATCGTTGTTCAAACAACGACAACGTAATAATTATTTAATAAACAACACGTACTCTCTACAAAAGAGAAATGCCATTGCAACTGAAGCACGCAAAAAACTTGAGCGTTTTAAAGTTTATGGTCACTTTTCCTTTTGATGAATACATTTTTGATGATTGTGTATATAATTTTTAATTAATTAAGTATTCTATTTAATTTATAGGTATGAAAAAGTGTATTAAACTTAAATGATATAGCGTCATACAAAAAAATGTCAAGAAATTAAAGAACTCGCATCATGGAAACAAAATTAGTTAGAATTTCTTATTTTTCTTGTGCATATAATTATATTTTTGAGCTTATAAGTAACAAATAGCGCAAATAACAAAAAATTCAATTACTTTTCATGTCTAGGTTTTATTTTATAAATTTTTGAAGTATCGATGTTAATGGAACCGTTAAAATGACTTTTTAAACGTGTCATGACAGTAGCTTTATTCGAGTTCCCAAAAAGTACGGTTCTAGAACGGTTCAAAATACTGGCATAATATTGTTACGGATTCCGTGGGTCCACTATTTAAATTCACGATAAAATACTTAACGAATTTATTTGTTTCACTCTGTACACACAACTTATACTATTTACAACACAACTTATGCAACTACTATTACTCTAACGGTATTTCGCGGTATTATCAAACTTCAGACTATCTTCAGACTTTCTTCAGACTTGTCCAACTGTCAAAGCGCGGGCCTTATATACCCCCTGGCGATGGTTTCTGGAATTTTCTAAAGAATTCTAAAATTTTCTTTTACTTTCTGGCGAATGCGCCAGGTTGCTCAATGCACGTTGCGATTATTTAGCAGTATGCAGTTATGCAACCAGTAATACACCTTGACAATATGATTTTTTGCAACTTTTGACATGAATGATTGTCGTAAATAGGCTGTGCGATTGTTTTAAACCGTTCTAGAACCGTACTTTTTGGAACTCGAATTAAGCTTCTATCTTTTTCTGACCCATTGCCTGGACACTTATATGGTGAAATTTTGATAAAATGATTTAGTACACACTAAAAACACGGTATGTGGCTAGTGGTAAGAAAAATAATTTTTAGAGGTTACTAGTTTATTTGGTTGCCTGTGATATGCATATACAGGGTGTTTCCTAATTAATCTAAAAAATATAAAATCGATAGAAAACGAATTAAGGCGGGCTCTTAATAAGTATATTTATTTTTTTCTCGACAACCGTTTGATGAACAAGAAAAACTCAAAAGATCAATTTTGTTAAAAAAAGATGGCCAGTCAAGAAAAAAATATATTTTCTTTAAAAAAAGCATTGGTGTACCATTTAGGTTAAGCAAAAAAATGGATTTTTTTTAATTTTTAACACCCTGTAGATCAGAAAGGAAGTACTTTAGATCTAATGGTTATATAAAAATTGTTTTAAGAACACATGAGGAATCACACCATAATTTTTTTAGACTAATTCGAAAACACCCTGTATGACTGCTGATAAATCAAAAAATACCTTTTCAGAGAAAAAAGCCTGATTTTCGCGGGAAAAATTTTGATTTTTATTGAATTTGGGCCTGCGTTTGCAAATACTGGTTTGTTTTTTAATTTTCTATCTATCTAAATTTTAAATATCATAGTCAGAAATAGTTTTATTATTTATTAACTGTAAAAATGGTGTTTTCTTGTTGTCTTGCATCTTGCAAAGAAACTAACAAAACTGCAAAAATGTACGTGTTTCCAAAAGACGATAAGGTATGTATCTTAGATAAAAGAAAAAATATATGGGTTAAACGTAGTCTCTACTAAAAACACGGAGGGGCGCTTTGACCCAAAATTTTACTATTAAGTTTCATATCTATCTTAATAGTAGATTATTTTCTTTTATCTATGTTCTAACCTAATTATCGTAGTTTGACAGGAATAGGCCCTAAAGCTCAAAAATATCTTAAATTCTTTAGATACTAAAAAGAATAATACTAATTTGATATTTTGGTTCTAATTTGGTATTTTTTTGGAAATAATTTGGTATTTTTGGTACTTTTTTCCCAAAATTGGTATGTATTGTACACCATTTTTGGCAGCGGTTTGCCCCTCGAAATATATCAACATTCATTTAAAATATTACTTAAAAATGATGTAAATATTTTTTCGGGCAAATACTTCACACTCTTTGAGAAACTACAATCATAAACCTACTTATTTCGGCTACTGTCGCAACAAGAATTTATGCCCAGCAGCGAACACACTCATTACCGCTTAATTATACGAAATAATAATAGTTTTGTTTGTTAAATGAGACCTAATTATAAACAAAGAAATGGATAAAAATTATTATAATACAGCAGGCTATAAAGTCGAAGGTTTGCGCAAGAAAATGTTACCGAAATTTCAGTCATTTCAAACTGTTGAGCTCTTGAAGTTTTGAAAGAAAATTCTTATTACTGCGGAAATTGTAATAGCCGTTCTGTTGTTAACAAAGAGAAAACTGTTTTATTTGTTTATATATGTTTTTTTCGGTGGGTATATGGAACATTGTAAGGTTACAGCCTTTAAAGTGTACAATCAGATCATTTGATAGTAATAATTTTTTTCTCTAATTTTCACATATTTCAAGTGACATTTTCCATAATCCTTTGACGTTTTGAAAGATGTTTTATTTCGCAACTAGTTATAAATGAGCTTTAACATAATCAATGAATCATATTCTAGTAGTGTTTTTATGTTTCTTAGTCTGGTGTACCAGGGCTCTACTCAAAACTCTAATATATCGTTTTAATCATCTGCTGATGATACTGACATGATTTTTGATTGATTGAAGTGATTTTTTTTGATAGACGCTAAAACAAGAAGACATCAAACGCCTTAATGCATTCGAAATTATTTGTATTTCGTAAAAAATTTCAATATTTTATCAAAAAACACTTGATGAACTTTACGAAAAATAGGATATTTTATATTTTTCAGCCATTATCTCAGATAAAAATATAAAATTTTTAGAAGTTATCATCGTTTTATCATATATGATTTGAAGTTGAACTTTAACTTTTAATAACTTTCAAACGAGTCGATTAAATGAAAAAGTACCAAACCTTTTTTGAAGACCGTTCAATTCCCTACAAGAATATGTATTGATTTTTACAATACGCTGAAAAACCCTAATGTATATAAATTTCGTAATC